GTTGGTACATGTGTTGCCATGGAGAACATTTATCCAATAATGATCAATAGTTGGCCTGGTTTTGTTTAGGTTTAAAACCAGGCAGGTTGGTTCCAAAAAGTCAAGGCATTGTCCTCAGAAATGAATCAGTGAATGGCTGTCACCTATTTTGTTAAGTTGAAAAAGGCATTTACATGTATGTTCTTTCCGTCTGCAAGGAACAGGACCCTGCTTATTAATATAAATAGCTCGCAGTACATGCAAGTGTGCCACACTGTGTGCGCGACTGACAATCCAAAATTGTTTGACAGAATGATTCTTCACATTCAAGATTATCCATCAAATGTAGACCAATCATGGAATTACATCTCATGTTGGGCACTGTGTTGCAAGTATTTTTTTGAAATAACTAGGTAGATATGGTTAGTGCCTTGTCTGTTGAGAACAGCTCAAAGGATATGTTGTTTGATCTGGTCCGCCAGTGCTTTGGACATATGAGGCAGCACAGTGGCTCTGCTGTTAACACTGCAGCCTCACAGCGCCAGGGACCCGGGTTTGATTCCACCCTCCGGTGACTGTCTGTGTGGAGTGTGCACATTCTCCCCTTGTCTGCGCACGTTTTGTCCGGGTGCTCCGCTTTTCCTCCCACAGTCCATAGATTAGGTAGATTGGCCAGGCTAAACTTCCCATAGTGTCCAGGGATGTACTAATTAGGTGGATTAGCCATGAGAAATTCAGGGTTACAGGGATAGGGTGAGGGTGAGTGTCTCGGTGGAATGCTCTTTGGAGGGTTGGTGTGGACTTGTTGGGCCAAATGGCCTGCTTCTGCACTGAATGGATTCTATGATTTTATATGGCTTGCAGAGTTGGCATCACATTGGTATATGAATTTCAACACCATACTGATGGCAGCAGTCTGTTAGTAGCAAATATCACTGCTTTGCAGGTTCACCTCGATTCAACATCGGTCCAATTTTTGAAATACCTTACTGAAATATACTGAGCACTTTTCAGATCCAAAAGGGACAGCCTTAGGGCTGTGCAATATGTTATAAGAAATTGGCTTTATTGGCAATTTGATAAATAGGACCCAAGACATTTGCTTAGCATGCAAGCCTGATGTTGAACCAGGGTGCATCAAAGCCACCTTTGCAGGGTAATAGCTACCCCTGATGAGATCATTTTCATTAGACGGCTGTATAATATAACTGTAATGTGTACTGCCATCACTGCATATTTTCCTCCAGTGACCAGCACCAAAAGTGCTGTTAATTATACACAAGTTGAAAGCTCCTAGTCCAGTAGCTTCTTCCCATTGCTAAATAATTTTGAAACAAAAGTTCATTTCTTTTCAAATTTGCCGTCATTTGATATCTTTTATCCTGTAGCCTGCAGTAAAATGAGGTTATGTTTCATTTCAAAGCACAAATCTTTTTACAAGCAATACAAATTTAAAACTTAATTACAGCAAAAATGAAGAACAAAAATATCAATTTTTTCATAAAAGAAACATCTGCTGGTACACAAGCACACAATAATGGCAACCTTCAATCATATAATACAAAGCCACTGCTGCTAAATGCAAAGCTGGTATGATAATGCAGCAAGCATTTCAGGCGAAACACACTCGAATTCCATTATTGAGTTCTGGACATGCTATTTCAGTGCATTAGCTCCACCTACAGAATGATAAGCATGCTTGATGCTCTCCAAGTACACATTCATCTTCAAAAGCAAGACATCTGTGAGCACAATTTTAAAAAGGGAAAAAGGTCAAAGTCCTAGAACACCCTCCCTTACAGCGTTGTTGGTCAACCTACACCAAATGGACTGCAATGGTTCAAGAATGCAGCTCACCACAACCTTCTCAAGGGCAACTAGCGACGGTAAATAAATGCTGGCCCAGCCAGAGAAACCAACATCCCACATGTGAGAGTGTAAAAAAAGTCCACTCACCTCTAGAAGCCGGTCTCCTGCCTTCAGTCTGCCATCTTGGATAGCTGCACCTTTTGGAAGAATGTTTTTCACATAGATTGGTGCTGAGCCACCAACAGGAACATCTCTTGATGTTATGCTAAACCCAAGACCTTCAGGACCTGTATGCATAGAGACGGGAATGTTAACTTCACGTTTAAGTGGAATGCTTATTTAAATAAAGTTATCAGTACAGGATGGACAAATAAAACCTTCATTGCCAAAAACAAACATCTACAATTCCTTGAATTGTGCAGTCTGATGGGAAAGTGCAACATATTATTGGTTCTAAAGCAGAATTCTAAGTAAAGTTTCACAATGAGTGGGAAGTATATGTAGGAACGTTTGGATCTTGTGGTTTTATGGGATTGTTTGTTCTTGTCCAAATGTCAAGTAGTTCCCTTTTACTGTCAGACTTTAAGACACTAACATGACAGCCTGGTTACATTGCAATAAGATGCCAGCAATCTTGTACATTCTGTACAAATGTCAACAAAGATGCAAGTTATCAGTCATTTTAATGCAGTTGGATCAGGAAAAAGGCACTACTACTTAACACGTCTTTGACCACAGTTCACACCCTGACAAAGATTGAAATACCAATTATCTGGTTTAACGTCAATCACTCCATCAGGCTGATCAATGTGGGTTCAATTCTCATACCTGTTGAGGTCACCATGAAGACCATAGCTTCTTAACATCACTCCTCATCTGAGGCGCAGTGACCCCTCAGGTTAAACTTACCTCTGGTCATCTCTTTCCAATGACAGAGTGACCCTATGATTCACTAGGAAATGGTGACTTTTATTTTCACAGACCACGAATAATATCCGAACAAACATGATATAGGGACAAAAACAAAGTTGTTGGAAAAGCTCAGCAGGTCTGGCAGCATCTATGAAGGGAAAAAACAAAGTGAACGTTTCGGGTCCAGTGACCCTTCCTTCACAGATGCTGCCAGGCCTGCTGAACTTTTCCAGCAACTTTGTTTTTGTTCCTGATTTACAGCATCCGCAGTTCTTTTGGTTTTTAAACAGGATATAGTGTCCTTGTTACCGGCACCAATGGCCATATGTTGAGGGTATATTGCCGGTTTTCGCTAAGATTTACTACACACAACAGGTCGATGAGAGGAGATAAGGGTCTAACAACCGAAGAACTCTTTGTTAAGAAAGGAAAAGTCCAGAAGTTGGCCACTACTATGGTAAATGAACTAAAACTGAAGATGAAGTAATGAATGCATTTTACCAAAACCTGCAGATTTTTTGAATGGTGAGGTAAATAAGCAGTTAAATTTCAGGGTGGGAGTAAAGGGAAAATAAAATGAAAACTGAGTGATTTTGACCATTAGATAAGTGATGGATAGGGAAAGCGATAAACGCTCTATGTCAACCATCCAATGGCCTTGGCACGTATACTAGCCCAAAGTGATCGAGTATCAATAGGCTACAAACTCAACAAAAATTTCCCACTACTTTCATTCTATCTTTAAGTATGTGGCTAGCATTATAAACACAAATTTGAAAACACCAAATGCTTCTGCACACCTCAGAAGATCTGCCAACTAAAAAGTTCACAAGCTGACCTTTCCATAAGACAAATGAATGTCAATTACCTTGCATCATGGCAGGTAAACCTCTCATGTTGACACAAACGGATTAGTGACCTTATTCAATAATTAGAATAAATACACAAATTTCTGAAAAGATGATTGCTTCTATGAAATACCAATGAGAAACCCAAACCCCACAAAGAGTGAGATTCCATCACAAAAATTAAAAACCGAGTTCAGTGTGGTCTTTTCTACAAGGAAATAAAGCCATTATCATTTGACAAGGAGGTTCATGGTGGATAGGTGGTGTATTAGCAAGGTACTGCAATGTGCATTATTTTCCATTCAAGTATAAACTACAAAGTAAATGGACAGTATTTCAGCCAGTTGAATGTTCTTTTCATACTCTAAATAATTGAGTCAAAAATACAACTCTGGATTCAATTCAGACCTTGTAGATGCAATGCATGCCCCTTGTCCATTTAGGGATCCTGGGTGAAATTTAACAAACAGCAGCAACACAGCTTCTAGTAGCACCTGGTCTCCATTACAGATTAAGCAAGAACCATGATGCTAGCAGAGGGAATACAGACTGTAACTGCGCAGTGGATAATGTTGTTGAGGTTACAGACAACAACATTGTTGGAGTAGAGCAGGTCAATGCAAATAGGGAGCAGAAGATTTCTGCAAACCCTTCCATCTTAATTCATGAACAAACTGAATTTCTATAGTACCCATAACATGACAAACATTCTTATTTCATTTTACTAATTTATTTAGTCATGGGATTTGGGCATTGCTGACTAAGCCAGAATTTATTCTTCAACTGCACTTAAGGCAGCAGCAGTGAGCTGCCTGTTTGACTGCTGTAATTCATGTGGCACAGGTGCATTTTCACTGAGGAGGGGAATTTTAAGGTTTTGACCCAATCACGGTGAAGGAAAGGTGATATAGTTCCAAATCAGGATGGTGTGTCATTTGAAGAACTTGGAGGCAGTGGTGTTCCCATACATCTGATGATCTTGGCTTTTTAGGTGACAGCTGCTGTCGAGGGAGCCATGGTGAGTTGCTAAAGTGCATTTTGTACACAGCACTCACTCTTGCCACTTTGCATCATTGTTGGAGGCAGATGATGGGGTGTCAATGAATGGTTGAGCTTTCAGAGTATTGTTGGAGCTGCATTCATCCAGGCAAGTGCAGAGTATTCCTGGCTTATGTCTTGCAGATGATGGACAACCACTGAAGGAGGAAGAGAATTACTCAAAATTGTCAGCCTCTGACTTACTCTTGAACGAATATAGTTGGGCCAGTTAAATTTCTGGTCTCTGCTGATGTTATGATATTGGTGCTGAGGAACCAGCAATGGCAATGCTGCGAAATGCCAAGGGGAGAAAATTAGATTTTTCTCTTGTTTAAGATGGTCCTTGTCTGGTCTGAATGTTACTTGCACTGATCAGCACAAGATTGAATGTTGTCACAGGAATGTTAGTTACCAGACAGTGGGCTACATTAGAAAATATTATATGTACCTTTCCGCAATCCACAAAAAGGATTATATACAGGTTTAAGAAGCATCTCAAAGGAAAAGTGAGTGTTGGAAAGTCAAAACAGGATCAGAGGTAGGATTTAAGGATTAGCTCAAAGAAAAACCAAGTGTTGGAAAGGTAAAGACACTTACTGAACAAGTTCAGAGATTGGGGCTGAAACAGCTGAAGGCATTTTCACCTCCAAATTAAAGTCAGGAAGGCAAATAAAATTGCTGAACAGACCCAGCAGGTCTGGCAGCATCTGTGGAGAGAAATCAGAGTTAATGTTTTGGGTCTAGTGACCCTTCTTCAGAACTTCTTCAAAACTCTTTGTTTTTCTCTGATTTCCAGCATGCACAGTTCTTTCAGTATTTTTTGCTCAGAAATTGAAGTTGCTTTTGTACAAAAGGCAACAACTGCAGAAGAGATCTGACAGTTGTAGCACTAGATAAGAAAGAGGTGACGGCAATAGAGAGTTGGGTCCATTTTAAGCTAAGAAAATGCTAACCAGAGGGGTTGTTAGGCCAAATGTCATTGTTGGTCAGTGAGCAGAGGAGTAATGGACAAACAGAACTTTGTAACTTCTTTCATGTACAGAAGTTACTAGCTTTTTGTGGAGCATATCTAAAGGTTCTACGACAGCAACGTATAGTCATTAGTTACCTTGATATTAAATATGTCCTAAGTGCATCCTGAGGGAAAGCTGATAAAAGATGAAGATCCTATAAGTAATATTTCATGCTTGCACTGAGAGTGACTATGAGCCAGAGGACTGGCGAATGATTAATACAATGTTCATTTCAAAACCAGAAAGGAAACCAAACCAGATAATTACAAGGTAATTAAATACATGACAATCCAGATGTTGGTGTTTTTAATTAAAACTGAAATGATTTAATATTAGCGATACAGCCCAGGAGGCCATTGGCCCATTTTGCTTATGTCAGCTCTTTAAGAAAGGTATGCAATGAATCCTATTCACCTCTATTTATATTTAGGCCTATGGCTAGAGTACCCAACATGGATTGCGGAAAGGTAGGTCATGAAGAACAAACCTAGCAAAATTTAGTTAAGTTGGTGATAGACATGGTGGATGGGGCAAAAATAATGCTTGATGTGTCAATCCACTTGTACACAGCAAGCTCCCACAAGCAGCAACAGAATAAGTGGTTCAACCGTCCGTCTTAAGTGTTAACTGAGGTGTAATTATTAGCTAGGATGTCAGGAGAACGCCCTTTAACTTTTCTTGGAACAGTGCAGTGGCTGTTCTCTGCCCATCGAAGGGGTCAGACAGCCGTTTGGTTTAACTAAAAGAGAATATTATATCTACCATTTCCTCAGTATTGGATGCAAAATGCTGGCCTAGGAATTATGCACTGAAGACTTAAGTGGTTCACTACACACTTTGAGTCAATGAGTTAAGGCCAACACAGTAACTGTTCACATGAAATACTGCAAACATTACGCCCAGTTCTCGCACTGGACTTAAGAAAGGATGTGAAGGCTTTGGAGAGGATGTGATAACATTTATGAAAATGTTTCCAGAGATGAAACTGCTTCCATCTAGGACAAGTGCAGCAGATACTTAGGAATACCACCATCTGCAAGTGCCCCGTCAAGCCACCTACCATCCCGACTTGGCAATGTATCTCTCTATACCTTCGCTGTCACTGGGTCAAAATCGTGGAAATCCCTCCCTAAGGGCATTGTGGGTCAAGCTACAGCATGTGGACTGCAGTGGTTCAAGAAGGTTCACCACCAACTTCTCAAGGGCAACTAGGGATGGGCAGTAAATGCCAGTAACACCTACATCCCATAAATGAATTTAAAAACAAGAAACCTCAGTTATCTCATCTTTCAGTCTTCCCTGGATTCAGGGGCAATGCCAGAAGGGAGAATTGTAAACATTATAACTTTGTTCAAGAGATAGTAGGAACTGCAGATGCTGCAGAATCTGAGACAACAAGGTGTACAGCTGGATGAACACAGCAGGCCAAGCAGCATCAGAGGAGCAGGAAGGCTGACGTTTCGGCCCTGGACCCGA